TGTTAGTGTGGAGAGAGAGAAGCTTCTGGGTCACTCATCTAAAGACACAAGCTCCACATCTGAAAGACAAAAGGGTCAACATCAGCACAAGGGATTTGATTTATGTTGTATGAAGCTGCGTTCAGACCGGAGCATCAAGGCTAAGTCTCTGTGGACACACGTCTAGTGCGTCCTGCGTTTTTGGACACGTCTTCAGGTCGAGAATCTGACGTAGACGCGGTCGAGCGACACCCTGGACGCTCTGAACACGTGTCCAGAACTTTTACCATTGAACACGTCAACACCAGTCAGGTAGTGACGAGCAAATGAAATGGAGCTCCGGAGCACGTCTCGTTCTTTCTGAAACAATTTGCTCCGAAGCACTGCCTCGGAGCTCGTCTCGCAGCAGCCGCTCACATGTCGGTCCCTCCCCCACTGCTTCACTCTGCGTGTCAATCGCTTCAGTGTATCAGTGTAAGCGTTTCATTGGCTCGGCGAATGTTCCGCTCTGCGATTGGTTCAGAGTGCTTCAGAGGGTTCAGCGCACTTCCATGGTTTGACAAGTTCTAAACTGCTACAGACTAAACGGCCGTTCACACCAAGGCGTCAGAGCGTCCAGTTTCTATGTAAAGTCGATGTGGACGCGCGACTAGAGTGTCCTGCGTTTTTTGCAGCGCGTCTTCGGGCGTCAGCGCGGCGCGAATCTGGCGTCAACGCGGTGTGTCTTGAGCGTTTTGGCGTCGATGGTCTAGACGCACGTCCAAGGCGTCAGCGTCAAGAAGTTGAAAATGCTGAACTTTTCACGTCAGACGCGCCGCATCAACCAATCAGGGACGAGGATCCAGTGACACAGCGACGTTATTATCAGGAAGAAAAACCTGAGAACCAGAACGAGAACCACAAACATGAGCGGAGAATAAATATATTCACCACAATCACCGAGACGATTGTGAGGACTACACCAGGACCGGACCAGGACTAAACCAGGACTAGACCAGGACTAAACCAGGACTAGACCGGGAATAGACCGAGACTAAACCAGGACTAGACCAGGACTAAACCAGGACTAGACCGGGACTAAACAAGGACTAGACCAGGAATAGACCGAGACTAAAGCAGGATTAGACTGAGACTAAACCAGGACTAGACTGGGACTAGACCGTGATTAGAGAGGGACTAGACCGGGACCAGACCGGTATTAGACCAGGAGGATGAGACCGGGACTAAACCAGGACTGATCCAGTGTCATTAGTGGAGTATAAATATATATACTCCCCAGTCGTCGAGTCGATCTCCTCCGCTGATGTTTTATGTCATAAAAACACTAAAGTCTCTCTCAGTCTGGTCTGACATTGCTTCGGGAAAAGAGCGGGACCGGGCTCTTGTTTCCAGGGCAACGGACGCGCGTCAAGTGTTTTTGTCCCGTTCGTTCACGGCGTCAAAGACACGCGTCGGGGGCGTCTAAACTCAAATGCAAAGGCGTCCAAATAGAGGCGTCAAGGCATTTTTTGACGCTTTGGTGTGAACGGCCCTTAAAAGATGCACCAATATATCTTAAAAATGTTGGGTAGTGAGGAGTATTGTGTGACATTAGTGGTGACTTTTGGTGACTTTTGACATTTGTTTCATTTTCGATGACATCTACAAGTGGAAAAAAGTGATCCATGGTTTGGGCATCACTTTGAACAAGGTAACACCTATTTTCTTATTTACATCATGTTATTTATGTTGCTCTTGACATATTATTTTAAATCATCATTATTATTGTTTTTGTTAGGTATGGTGTCGCTCTGCACACAAGTATTGTCTTACACTAACAATACTTCTTCTTCGGTTGTGTGCTGGTTTGCAATGGTTAAATTTGTCCACTAGAGGTCAGTGTTTCTCCGAGGCCTCAGACACATCGAACCATTTGAAACAATATTGCGACTGAGGTGTCAATGCTTCACGAGGCTCCATTCACCCATCACTCCAATCAAGGACTACTATCCCGTTACATAGCAACATCATTATCCACAAGAAGAAGACAGAGAACGACCCGGGAGCCACAAACACCAGAACAAGAGCTCTACACCGTGTCATTAGTGGAGCGTAAATATATAGATGCCACAACCACTGAGCTGATCGCCTCCGCTGATGGTTTCATGTAATAAATGCTCTAAAGACACTATTTTGACCGGGAAAACAAGGCACTCACAGAACACAGCGGACACCCTGGATGATCGTCAAGCATTTTTCACGTTTGTTCAGGCATCTAAACCATAAAACTATAATAAAATCTGGAAGATGAATCCAAGATGGTCTTTTATTGATTTCAGGGGCCTTTGCTCATTGACTCATAGGCCCAAAAAAAAAAAAAAAATCACTTCCGCATTTACTTCTTCAATCTGGGTGCAGAATCCCTACAAAAATCCTTACAAAATCCAACAAGTTTGCGATGCCCTGTCAGCCAAACTCGGACAGCCTGAAATCCCAAAAAATGCATTGCGCTTCTATGGGAGAATTCTTTTTGGGCCCAAGCTCCAGAAGTTGCAGTACCTGGAGCGACCACTAGTCTGTCTCGAGCCGTGACATACGGGAAGTACTTTATCCAGTTTTTATTATAGATCTGTGGTCTGAACTCCAAATGCTCAAAAACTAGAGTAGAGAACTAATGTTTAAAGAGAAACGGTATTCACTGTAAGACAAAACATGTTTAGATCAACATGTTAACTTTTATAGGCAAGTTTCATTGTTGACAAAAGCGCGCGTTGCATTATTATTTTGGTTCGGCGGCAAGAAACACTAATTCAACATGACGGACGGAGCGAAAAGCACGTAAAGGGTATTGATCCCGGTTATTTATCCACTCTAACGGCAGAGGACCCAAGACCATTTGACCAGAAATTGGTCATAAGCATCGATGGAGCCAAATCACCCTTTTCAACCCCGACAAAAGGTGAACCAAACCAAATTTCTGGTCAGAATCGCCAACTATCTGGACAAATATTCACTTCAGCGATATCCACAATGACTTGGTGGAAACTCCTGGGCCATTCACAGCAAAAACTAGAAAAGCAGTCAGAGAGCGCAGACCTCCGCCAAGGACTACCCCCATTTTTTATATAAATTGCGATAAAATCAGTCTTCTGGATCAGATCCGGATCAGCCTTTGGAATATGAAAGAGAATCCAATTGTCCATCCCTGAGTCAAATTTCATGGGGTTTGGTCAATAATTAACCAAGATATTTAGAAACAAAATTTTTGGCCCCATTTACCACAATGTTAACAAAAATTTCAAAGTGATCCAGAATCCAGGATTTCTTCCGGATCACCCCCAAAATGAAATCAGTTCTTCCTTTTCACATTTCCAACAAATCCTGAAAATTTCATGAAAATCGGTCCATAACCTTTTGAGTTATGTTGCTAACAGACAAACAAACAAACAAACAAACAAACAAACAGACAAACAGACAAACGCCGGCAAAAACATAACCTCCTTGGCGGAGGTAAAGATGAAAACCTCCAAGAGTCTCGATGTGTTGTTGAACTTGTTGGAGTCCACGGTTTGTTAGGATCTTCTACGTTTGCTCTGTGAATGTTTGAAAGTCGTTTAATTCACCGTTAGTGGTTCTTTTCACTCAGAATACGAAAAAGACATTTTCCTTCTTCCGTGCTTCTATTTGTGCATCCGATAATGCAGCAGGAATTTACCATTATCGGGGATAAATACGCGAGGTTACGCACTGTGTTTGACACTATCCTGTTTTTTGCCTCCGACCAAAATATTTCCCAGCATGCAACGCGGGCTTTTAATAACAATGACGTCATCTGAAACTCGCCTATAGTTTTGAAAATGCTATATTCACCAAAAACATTGTATTAACATGTTTTATAAGGCTCACTTTCTATTTTTGTGCTGTGTGTTGCCCCTCCCTTTGCTCTCTGCACTAAGGTACTCCCCCTTCAGAGCAATATCACAACAGCATACATCCCATACATCCCACCATGAAACTCCTGCACATCCCATCAGGTTTGTGAAGTTGCTGTGTCCAGTTTGTATCATGTTTTTGTGTATTTATGGAGAATAGTCGTGCGGGCACATGGGGGGAGATCACTAGATTCCTCAAACATATGTGGATGACATCTAAACCCTCTTCAGACATGTTTTTGACGAGAGAACAACTTTATAACACGGTAGAAAATTGAGCAAGTTGGTTTAGTTTGATGACTCCTCTTTAAGTGCACGTGAAATTTCCACAGCGCGTTAAGAAATGTATGAATCTCTAAGAAGACAAGCGGGTGGGACCTCCAGGAGAAGTTACAGGTCAGATCTGTGGAGAGGAGACCCCGCTCACTGTGACTATAAACACCAGTCACTGAATAAAAGCAAGATACAATGGAACATTCAACGCAAAGGTCAAGTCCTGCAAACAACTGGAACTGAAATATAGTCAGTGTTGGGAAGGTGACTTTTAAAAGTGTAATTCCCCTACAGATTACAGATTACATACACCAAAATGTAGTTTGTAATGTAATCCATTAAATTACTTAAAGTGAGTAACGTAATCTGAATACTTTTGCTGTAGAGAAGCAAAGACGAGGATATCATAACATAAGATGTTTTGTCTGATAAAAGAAAATGAAAGGGCCGAGTCTTTACTCAACCGGATTAAAAATATTATTCATAGAAGAAGAGGAGACATGGTCCACGCAGCAAGATTTAGTCCTGTTAAATCCTGTCTTAGACCTGGTTTAGTCCTGGTTTAGACCTGGTTTAGTCCTGGTTTAGACCTGGTTTTAGTCCTGCTTTTAGTCCTCCTTTAGTCCTGGTTTAGTCTTGGTTTAGTCCTGCTTTAGACCTGGTTTTAGTCCTCCTTTAGTCTTGGTTTAGACCTGGTTTAGTCCTGCTTTAGTCCTGGTTTAGTCCTGGTTTAGTCCTGGTTTAGTCCTGCTTTAGTCCTGGTTTAGACCTGGTTTAGTCCTGTTTTATTCCTGTTTTAGACCTGGTTTAGTCCTGTTTTAGACCTGGTTTAGACCTGGATTTAGTCCTGCTTTAGTCCTGGTTTAGTCCTGGTTTAGTCCTGCTTTAGTCCTGGT